ACACATACCTGTATGTGTGTATATATATCTTCTCAATATATGTTCCATTCTATATGCATCCGAAGAAGTGGGCTGTAGTCCACGAAAGCTTATGCTCTAATAAATTTATCATTAAAAAGAGGACCAAAGAGGACCCAGGAAATGATAGAACAGGAATGTGGTCTGTAAGACATGGGAGGTAATTATCCTGCTGTACTCAGCACTTCTGAGGCCTCAGCGAGAGCAGTGTCTCCAGTTCTGATAAAAGGTTTTAAAAACCTGACTTAAAAAACATAGGCATGTTTAGTCTTGAGAAAAGACAACTGAGGGGGGATCTGACAACAGTAATCAAATATGTTAAGGGCTGTTATAAAAAGGACTGTGATTATCTGCTCTCAACGTCTACTGAAGGTAGGACAAGAAGTAAGGGGTTTAATCTGCTGCAAGGGAGACTTAGGTTATATATCAGGAAAAACTTTAGGAAAAGCACTGGGGAGGACATGCTTAAGTTTTGGGGAGACTTATGGAGCAGTACTGGCCTTGGAGTCTAGGCAGCTGGACCACAGGATCTGACATCCTGAGAAGGGGAACTAGACAGCGGGGAACTGTACCTTGGAAGGGTTCCAGAGAAGCCAGACTTAGAGACAGAATCTGGACACTGCTCAGACTTAGTAGGCTTGGAAGTACATGAGATCCAAAGGTTGGATCCAATACAGCAGCCTGGCGTCGAACTGCAAGGGAGAACTGAGCCGGGGCTGTAATATCTTCTTGCCTCTCTAGAGAATGCCGACCACTTCCCGTCCCAAGGGATCAGGAAATCAGGCAGGATGGCTGAGGACACGGACACTAATGTGTCCAGACTTGAATAGCTCAGAGCTAAGCTTCTGTTCTTTGTTTTAAGATCTCTGAGAACTAAGCGAATGGGTCTCCCCTTTAGATACAGCTCTGTAGAGGCTTACACAGGCTTATTTATAAGATGGCTGATTTTTTCAGTAGGTTGGTTCAGAATTTCCCTCTCTGTTTATTGGCTTAGTTGTTCTAGGGCACATAAGATACCCTCACCAGCATGGAGGCTGGGGTGTCTTGATGGGGTTCCACGACAAAGGATGCTGAGGACCATGTTGGGTGCTGAGCACTCTTGAAACTCTGCCCCTTATTTAGGTCTCTAAAGGGAAGCTGAGCTCTTCTGAAAATCTGGTTCCGATTGTGGGTGCTGAGAACTTGAACATCTGCCCTTGAGCTCTTGAAATATGGCCCTTGCTGCCATCCTCATGCCCAGAGGAGTCTACACGTGTCACATGACTGGGTGGATATGCTAGTTCCTGATTACATTGCTGTTTGGATTAGCATCGACTCAGTACGACAAGGGCTGTATCCAAAGCTCACGGAAGTCAGGGGAAAGGTTCCCATTGACTTCAAAGGGCTCTGGATCAAACCTGAACTGGTGAAAGTATTGCAGAGAGCAGGGCCACTTGCATTCTAATTAAACAGCACATAGCTTGTTTCACTAAGCAGGACCTACCGACAGTGGAGGGGGCTTCAAAATGACTTGCTGACGTGCACTGTGCTAACACCCAGACTGCTCAGAAATGCGCCATCAGTGTCAGATAAGAGGCACTTGCAGCCACACCAGTTTCATTTGGATTTGCAAGGTCCAAATCCAGGATGCATGTAGCTCTCTACAAGGAGCTCAGAACCGCTTCTGGACCATGCCATTGAGCTCGGTGGGTATTTCTTTAAGCCAGTTGAAGGTCCCTGCTGGATAAAAACTACAGAGCACTGACCGGCCTCAAGAGCCAGATCCTGCCTGTAGCGGGATGGACACCTGCTCCTGCCCTGAGGAGTTGGAAAAGCCCTGCAGATGGCTTGGGCTGGGCAAGGTAAAACCCTGGCTGATTGGTGGAAGTGGCTGCAGCTGGGCCACACCCTAATCAGAGCCCAGATGGCCTGTATAAAGAGGCTGTGAGCCAGGAGCCCAACAGTCTCTCTCCCTACCTTCAGAGAGAGAAGGGCGTGGCTGCAGGGAGCTAGAGAGGGTACCTGTAGTGGAGCAGGACTGGGGAAAGGGTGAGGAGCTGGTGAGCCCCAGCCTGTGGCCTGGTAATACCCCCAAGGGTTACTGGGGGTTGCAGAGGGCAGCCCAGGGCTAGGCCAAGGCAGCAGGTCCAAACCCAACCTTGCCGATGATGAGTGGCCTATACTGCAGTCTGCCCCAGGGAGCGGGGGGCTAGTTGGTGACTGGCAGTGGCCTTATCCTGAGGTGAGGTTTGGTTAGTGGGTGGGGGTTCCCCTGGGAGGGGAGACCTAGCGTGTGTGGGGGGGTATTGCTAGGGGGCAGCACCCAGGGCAAGGGGCAGCAGGGTCCTGGGAGGGACACAGGGCTAGTGCAGATGACAAGGCAGATCACTGGCCTGCAGAGGGTGCTCTAGGGGTTGGTGAGCTAATTTGCTGGATGACCAGCAGGAGGTGCTGCAGGGGTGAGTCTGGACTGTCTTACACTGCCCCTTTGTGCAGCCGCACTTCGTTCCACAAGAAGCCCATTGATTCAGTGGGGTTATTTGCAGAGGTAGGTATTACTCAATGGGGAGGATCTTACCTAACTCTTCAGGGGAGCCAAAGGGAGTTGCCCAGCCCCAGCCTTGTCCCTCACACTCATAAGAACGGCCATACTGGGTCAGACCAATGGTCCGTCTAGCCCAGTATCCTCCCCCTGACTGTGGCTGGTGCCAGATGCTTCAGAGGGAATGAACAGAACAAAGCAATTATTGAGTGACCCATCCCCAGTAATCCACTCCCAGCATTTGGCAGCCAGAGGCTTAGGGATGCCCATAGCATAGGGTTGCATCCCTGCCCATCTTGGCTAATAGCCATGGATGGACCTATCCTCCATGAATGTATCCAGTTCTTTTTTGACTCCAGTTATGCTTTTGGCCTTCACAACATCCCCTGGCAGTGAGTTCCACAGGCTGCCTGTCTGCTCTGTAAGGTATGTCCTGTTATCCCCCTCTGACAGAGGGGGAACTGACAGTGGGAGGTTAAAGGCCCATTCCAATCACTCTTACCCATGCTGATTGGTGCCTCCCTCAGGGAGTGTTCCTATTTATGTCACCGAGAGTTAGGATGGGAGAACATAGTGCTAGGTGACTTGTTCAAAGCCCCAGCAGGAGTCAGTGTAAGAACTGGGATCAGAACTCGGGAGTTCCTATCTCCCATGGAAAAGGCCTGACCCAAAGCCCTGTACAGCCAAAGGAAGTCTTTCCATTGGCCGGAATAGCTGTTGAATCCAGCTGCATGTGCAGAAAGCGAGCCAGTCCCCAGAGTCTGTCCCAGGTGGAGGTCCCTCACCCCAAGTTCCCATGTGTGAACAGAATGAAGGATCCTCTCCCAGAGTGCACTGAGTTTGCACTGTCTCAGCCAAGCTGTATTTGGTTTTTAGCCCATCTGCAATGCATTGTGGGCCACATGTCTACTGCGCAGCCCAACGCACCTGTCTCACACATGGCTCCTTTGAACCCTGGTGGGCACTGACAGCTGAAGCTGTTGATGCCGTTGATGCAGGTGGCACTGTTCTGACATGGGTGGGAAAGACACTCATCCACATCTGAAAGAGAACAGAGGTGGAGTCGAGGGTTAGGGGCACGTGACAGTCCCCCTGTGGCAAGGGGAAAAGCAGCAAAGAAACATGGAACACCAGAATGGCCCCATGGCCAGGAGGGCTCACCGACATAGGTGGTGGGTATAACAGGCTAGGGGAGGCTAAGCTTCCCCTGGCAAAGCCGCCGCCCCACCGCCAGACACCTGGGCCATGGTTGCCTTGCCTGCACTCCACCTCTTCCCCTCCCTTCTCTACCCCTTCCTTGAGGCCTCCACTGCCCGCCGCTGCCTGGGGCCGTGGGGTGGAGGAGAGGAGGGAAATGGAGAGTGCAAGAGGTAGGGGCTTTGGGGGGGAAAGGGGATGTGGAGGAGAGGAGGGACACGGCAAGTGGCAGTTGGGGGAGGGGGATAAGTGGGGCGGGCAAGGGGCCATGGGCAGAAGAGGCAGGACAGGGAGCTAGCTTCCCACAAGGGAAGCCTGCTGCCCATGCTCACTAACGCTCCATGTGGTATGGAGCGCCCCATGGCCTGGGGCAGAACAGAGCCACAGACTCTGCTTCACCCCCCCCAAACTGTCCCCATTTCCATCATACGTCAGCCACAGACTATGGAGACCATAAGGGTGAGCAGGGCATCGCTGGCATGTTCTCTTCTCGTGTTCTGTGGCTGGCTGACCAGAAAGCATCATTCCATCCCAGGGATCTCTTCCTGTTCTCAGACTCTATGGTACATATACAGGTCCCATTCCTATGGTACCCAAGCGCCTCCCAATAATTAATTATTTATCCTTGCAACCCACCTGAGAGGCAGTGCAGTGCCATTATCCCCATTGTACAGATGGGGAACTGAGGCACAAAGAGACTAAGTGACTTGTCCAAGATTCTACAGGCAGTCTGAGGCAGAGCAGAAAAATTGAACCCAGGTCTCCTGAGTTCTACGCTAACACCCTAGCCACTAGACCATCCTTCCAATGGAACAGAAGTGCCCTTTTGTTGGATAATTGTTCCTGGGACTGGGAGAATTTTCTTCTTCCCAGAGGGAGCTAAGCAGCATAGGATAATGGCAGTTAGTTTGAAGCAGGTCTCCAAAAGGGAAGACGCTAACATGGAGGTGCAAGCTTCAGAGGGAGGAGAAATGTTTGTATCCCATCAACATGCCCATGCAGGATGGCACAGAGAGCACTTACCAAGATGACATCTCTTGCCCGTGAAGCCTGCAAGGCAGGAGCAGGAGTAGGAGGGATTTCCCGTGATGCAGTCCTCAATACACTTCCCCCCATTCAAACAGGGGCGTAATGTAAAACACACGGAGGCTGCAAACCAAGGTAGCACACCTTTTAATGGAAGAGAACACCCGCTACAGGACTCCTACAATATGTCTTAGCAACAATAGCATTGGACTGAACCAACTTCCTCCTGCATCCCCAGGAACTTCCAGCCCCAGCCATGGCATACCAGTGCCACTGGCTCTTAAATGTATCTGTTTGGTTTGTTTCAGTGCATTTATTTGGCAACACATTCTGGCTATAGTACTCATATGGCCTCTGTTACTATGGTGTCTGGGCACCTCACAGTCTTTAATGTAGCTATCCTCACAGCACCTCTGGGAGGCATGGCAGAGCTGTTATCCCCATTGTACAGATGGGGAACTGAGGCACAGACTGGCTAGGTCCCTCTCTATATGGGACATATACCAGTATAAATCTCAGGGGGCTGTTGGCCCCTCACTGAAACTTAGTGGGGTTTTTGGGCAGCCCTCTCCCAGTACCAAAAGAAAGGGGAAGGGACGAAGAGAAATCAGGATCCTGAGACTGACAGTCTCCAGGGCCAATGGGGAGAGGCCAACACTCCAGGTCAGCCTGATTGACATAGCAGGCAGGCCAATGAGGGAGTCAGGAGGCCAGAGCCCATCCTATGTGTGAGCGGGAGCTGCCTGAGCCAGAGTAGGGCAGAGCTAAGGGGAGAGCAGCAGCCAGGGCTGAGCTGGGGGCACAGCAGCAGCACTGAGGCAGAGCTGGGGAGCTGGAGCAGGCGGAGCTGGAGCAGCCGGAGCTGGAAGCTGGTGCTGAACAGACCAGCCACACCAATGGGGAGCTAGGGTTGAGCTACAGCGGGAGCTGTGGGCCCAGAGTTGGGGAGCAGATGCTGGCTGTGCCACAAATAACACCGGAGCTGAGCATGGCTAGCAGCTGTGGAGAGTGAGGGGAGCCCTTGGCAGAGGGCCCAGCACAGGGAGACGTCGCCGGACAAGAGGCCTTGCAGGCCTGACTCAAAGGTGGGAAATGATCCCAATGGGAGGGGCGCCACTGGGGAGAGGGGTTCCTGCCAACTAGTGCCTGAGGGTGTGTAGCCACTGCCAGAGCGGGGTCTGATCCACAGTGTCACCACAGAACAGCCAGGGCCTGGGGGGAGGTCTGGGACAGGTGAGGAACAGACTGTGACCTTCCCTTACATCCCAGAGAGGGCTGGTTGTGGTATCCCCATGCCCACAGGGGGTGTGTGTGTGTCTTTGTTTGTTTTAACCTTTCCACTTTCTTTTCTTATTTTTATTACATTTTCTGTTTGCTGACTTGTATTTGGTTTTAACTTAATGTAGTGCTCACTGAGCCAGGGACATGGCCGGTGTGAAGCGAGCACCCGGAGTGGAGATACCTTAGCCCCTATCCTAAGTGACCATGATAAGCCTGGGGGTTCAGCCTCCCAGGAATCCTGAGCCCAGCCTTGTCGGGGTTATGAGGACTCTGCCACACAGGAGGGAGGAAGGGGAGTCCTTGAGGTCAGGCAGGCCTCTGGGTAAAGGAAGTGGGAGTGAGGACTCAGATTCATTCGCTAGCTGATTCCACCGGGGTAGTGCAGAAGCTAGGAAAGTTCCCCACAATAGCAGGACCATTCCCCTGCTTACATAAGATATGGTGCAACTCTGAAATGCAGTAGTTATTGTGATGAATTGGGTGTTCTGTCTGTACCACTTCTGAATTTTGGATGATTTTCTGAAATTGTCTCATGAAATGACCATGTCATGTATGTACCTGAATCCCTCATGAGCTGGCCGTGTAGCATCATAGCTCTGCCAGGTGAGAGACAATGGTGAATGATCAGCATTCAGTGCTCTCTGTCCCAAGATGTACTTTGAATAATGTATTTGCTCTGCCTGGGAGAAGGCAATTCCTCCTCTTGTCTCATGGGTGTGTGTATGTGTGTGCGCGTGTGGGGATTGGAAGTAACAAATGTCACCAAATGGCAGAACAAAAGAAGCAGGTAACCCCAGCACGAGTCTTTAAGGGGACTCACAGGAGGGTGGGTGAGCTGGGGGTGAGAGCCATTTTGTACCAGATGATGCTGAGGGAGGCTGCTGCAGGGGCAGAGCAGGCAATGGGATGGAGGACTCTGCCTGCCTGAATAGAGATGATCCCCCAAGGGAAGAGTGAGCTAGTGAGGGACATTGCGTTTAGGGTGCTTTATTGTTTTGGGTGCTCTGTGCTTTACCAGATTAAATATAAAGATGTTAGATTGTAGTGTGTGTGTGTGCCTACCTACACCATGTGTGTGCCTACTTCACAACTTCTCCGTTCCCCAGAGAGAGTGACACGCCTTTAGGGAGGAGTTCTGTGGGAGGGGTGTGTTTGAGCATGGAGCAGTCGAAGGGTCAGGGCTAGGTGCTGGACAGCAGGTTCCACCCCTTGGAAGAGGGGTGCTGGATAGAAGGTCTGTGCCCTCACAGTGTTATCTGGGGCAATGGCTGAACTCCAGTCAGGCTCCAGGAGCTTGAAACACCCCAGGGATCCAGAGGACAGAGGCTTGGATTCCCCTCACAGCACTCCTAGTGGGGGGGGTGCTTGCTAGGACCTGTGAGCGTTATACCCTGTCACTGCCCATGCGGATGCTCTCATTCCAATATAAGAGTGGCTGAGAGTGGCCTTTTTACAGTTTAGCTTATGTCGCTTTGGGAGCCACACAACTATACCCATGTAATTTCTCATGTAAACAAACCTTAAGTGACTTGTCCAAGGTAACACAAGCAGAATAGGGAATTGAACCTGGCTCTCCTAGGTCCTTCCTCTTATATTTCTTCCTTATTCCACCTTACTTATTACATTTTACAGTTGTCCTGCTGGAATTCCCCATTTCCCGTTAGTTTTCCCATTGTTTTCCTATTTTTAAGAGATATTGAGCCCAAATTTAAATCCCAGGCACTCAAGAGAGAGACCTTCATTCCAGCACCCACAGTGGTTATGTACATCTCTGAATCTCATCAGCAAGAGACATTTATCACCTCCCCCCTTATCAAACACATTCATAATGGTGAATACTTCACTCCCGACACCACACAGTTGTCTCTTCCCCAATGCAGAGAGGGCCAACGGGCCAAATGCAGCCCTAGGAGAAGCAGGCACAACTCCATTCATTGCAACAGAGCACTGCCTTGCTTAAGGGAGTTGAATTTGGCCTGACATCGTTAGCCCTTTTCTCATTAAAGATGTAGCCTTATTGTTCTATGGTGCACCCCTTCAAGGGCGAGAGCAGCCTTCCCATGAGCGAGCAAACAGTGAGCCACTCAGCCATGGTATAGGAGGAAAACTCCCATCAACCTCAGCAAGAGGCGTATGGCCTTGAACTTGGCTCAGCCAGTGCGTGGTACAGTAACCACCTCACTTTGGTTTGCTTGGTACTCTGGCCTTATATCAATGCATCTAGTATTCCATTGGCCATTTATTTTACTGCAGCCATTCATTGGGCTGGTGGTTTCTAGGATTTCCTCCCACAATACCCTTAGCTCTTTTTCCTGATAAGTCCCTCTGCATGGCTGCTCTCTTCCCACTTTTCATGGGCACTGGCATTACCCAGGGAAAGAAAGAGAACCCAGTGAAGGGAATGAAGAATTGTTTGTTTAAACAAACCTAACTGCTGTTCTCTTACTTGTGTTGTTGCAGCCCCCCACTTGCACCTGGGCATCATCGATTCTGAACACCCAGCGCCCGGGGATACCCACATTTGTAGTCATCTCCACGTCGACAATGTCATCGGTGCGGGATCCGGGGATGTTGAAGTAGCGCTTTCCATCACCAGCATTGAAACCTGCCTAGGAATACAAAGGCGGAAAGTGAAAACTCTAGTGGGGGGAAGGGAAAGAGACCAGGATGCCTCGTTTCCACCATGGTCCAGCACCCTGAGAAGAAATCCACATGGAATAAAAAAGGGAAGAAGTTGGTTTATTTGACTGCTGTTTATTTCACTATCATCTCACTATTAGCTTATGCTCTGGGGGTGCTGGCCACATGTATACAGGGCACAGCACAACAAGGCCCTGGAAATGGTGTTGTCTAGTGGTTAAGGCACAGTACTAGGACTCGGAAGACCTAAGTTTTAATCCTGGCTCTGCCACTGATCTAGCCACCTGAGTACCATTGTATGCAGGTGGCTAGGCCGTGCTGCCAGCTCTCACTGCTATTTTTAGCATGCTAGCTCCATCAAAGATAGTGCATGTACATCTACCTGCCTGGAAATTACACCTCCCAGTGCACTGCAGGCGTATCCTGCATGTCTGCACAGCACCCAGCACAACAAAGCCCTAATCTCAGCTGGGCCTTCTAGGAACACAACCAACAATGTAAGGAATACACAATCCTGGCTTGTAGGAAGTCCTGCATGGCTGTACACAGAATGGTTATGAACAAAAGGCAGGAAACAGGGCCGGTCTACCTACTGACGACAGCTTTAAAAGAAAGGTAATTCAAAGGCCTGCCCCTTGAAACACTCCTCCTGCATGGCTCAACATAGCAGCCTCAGCAAACAGAAGCATTCGTTGCCTTAGCAATCTCCTCATGTTGATGACTCACTCCTTGGAAAAAGCATGTGACATCTATTCTATTTTCATTCTCCTCTGCACCTGGCATTGTGTGTGCAGGTTGAGCCCAGACAAATTTTGGATGGAAATAAGTCCAGGGGAACAGCTCTGCTAGCATAGGCCAAGTAGGCTCCTTTGCCATGTGGAGTCCTGCTGTTCCTACACAGAGCCCAGCCACTGTGTCTCACTCTGAGTGGCTGCAGCTCACTCTTGCAAACTCACTAACAAACTGCCACTGGGTGAGACTTTTCTGAGACTTCCCTTCTCTTTGGCCAGTGTTAGGGTGGGGTGTTCCTGGAGCACTGTCCGCCTTCCAAGGCATGTGGTTACTGCTCTGTTTACAGCCATAAAATCCGCACTTTTGAATTCTGGGATTTGAAATGTGTCTGTTTCCTTTACACCTGCGATTTCCTGCTTTCTGGAGACTCTCAAACGAGAGCAGGCAACGGGCCAAGGACAGAGCAACTGGTGGGAAATTCACACATCCGAACGGGCACTGATTTAAAAAAAACACCTCCCCCCACCACACAGGGCTGGAATAAAAATACAATGGAAAGCTATGCTTGCTGCAGCAGCTGCTCTTGAAGTCTGAGGTTAGGAAGGAAAGGAATTAAGAGGCATTGGCCAACGTAAAGAACTGTGGTTTTGCTATAACAAAGCCCCCTATATGGACTTAGCATCAAGGAGGGAGAGAACACATGGATATTTAAGAACTTAAAAAAAACCCAGCATCAACATTTCCTCAGTTGCTTCATGCTCCTGGCAAGAAATTAATAATATAGTAAAAGAAATAGCACCAGGAGGCTCTGAAGACTTACGGTGCTAGGCATTAGAAAGGAAGCAGCATCTGCAATGGGCAGAGCTTACCTGTGCTGCGATGCCTCCCAGGCCAGCAAAATCTCCCCCGCTACTGGCATGCATGCCTGTGGTCCAAGTGATAGACTCATAGTTGAAGATGGTAAAGGAGAGTTTACTGTCAGTGATGAGGACAATCTGGAAGGTGTTTACCTACAAGAGCAGGAGAAACATCCAGGTTAAGGAAGGAGGAGCTAGAGCAGAGGAGGGAGACTGGCAGAGGAAGAAACAGCTGGGAATGGAGAGAAAATAGACTGACCCGTTTGGATTGGACCGTTTAGTTTGGGAGAACTCATTGGAGAAAGACACTTTGCCTTTAGAAAGGACTAAAGTTAGTGGAATCTGTTCAGGTGGAACATTTTGCTATTAGAAAATGGGGTTTTGTTGACACTGAATTTTTTCCATGGGAAAAGATAGATTTCCACAGAATGTTCCATCAAGAAAATCAAGTAGATGTTTTGTTTCGTTTTGCATTGACCTTAAGCATTGAGTCTTCTTGCATTGCTGCTGCAGTGCCTTATAGGAATTGTAGTTCCAGGTCCTTTGTGCCTGCATTCTAACCTATGGACCCTGCTCCCTGGCTGGACTACATCTCCCATGATGCACTGCAGTCTCTGCTTGTGGAATGTCAAAACATTTCATTTCAATTGACACGTTTTGACAGTCCTGAATTGAAACTCTTTGGAACTTTTCATTATGTAAAAAGCTTTGATATTTAGACTTTTTTGTCCTGATTTGGGATGAAAACAAATGTTGATTTATCAACACTCTCCACAGGATGGCAATTCCATTTTTCAATCAGTTCTCAGGAATTCAGTGTAAAAAAAACTAAAGAAGAATCCTGGAATGGAGTGTTTTACATGGAAAGGGAGATTAACGATGGGATTATTTAATCTTGGGAGGAGACTATTAAAAGGGGACATGATCAAAGCATATGAATTAGGGCTTGAGCGGAAAGATAAGGACACCTTTAAGTTCTCTAGGATTTGTGGGTACTCAGCCCCTCTGAGAATAAAGCCACTTATTTAGGTACCTAAATTTGGGTTTGGATGTTTAGATCTTGGAACCAAAACCTAAACATGTTGGCCAAGAGTTATTATTAAGTGATGGCTATAAGATAAGGATTACTATAAAAAAAAAGTATCTGAGGTCATTGGGCAGATCAGAATAAGATGACACAGATCTAAATTAAGAAGGAAGAATTTAGGGTCAGATTTTCAAAAGCCAACATTAATTCTCTGATTAACATGTGTGCAACTCCCAGTGCACGCACTCCTTGCGTCCTTGCGCAAGTCGGGGGTTTAGACAGACAAACCTCAGTCGGCACACCCACTGGAAGCTGAGAACACTAGGATTTTCACACCAGTTTGGGGCACACAAAAGGTAGATTTTGACAGTTTGGTATTTTGTCACAGGGAGGGAATTGAATAGGTGGAACAGACTTGCCACTGATGTAAAGAATTATCACTGCATCTAAGGCTATGGCTACACTATGGACCTTACAGCGGCACAGCTGTACTGCTCGTAGCTGCTCTATGCCGGCAGGAGAGAGCTCTCCCGCTGGCATAATTAAACACCCCCAACAACTGGCGGTAGTTGTGTTGGCAGGAGACACTCTCCCACTGACATAGCGCTGTCCACGGTGGTGCTTCTGTCAGTGACACTTATGTTGGTCAAGGGTGTGTTTTTCACAGCCCTGCCCAACAAAAGTTATGCCAACAAACATACTAGTGTAGACATAGCCTAAGAGTGAAAACTGGATGACAACATCAAGTTGAGTTAAAAGAGATGGTGTTTGGAAGTAACCAATCACTCTTGGGGGGGCAGGGGCAGGAAGGAATTTTTCATGGGTCAGGATTTTGCCATCCAATTAGATGGGGAGGTTTTTTTGTAAACCTTCCTTGTCACAATAAGGGTACAGTAAAATATATAACTAATCTAAAGAGGTAGAACCCAGCCAGCTCAGTTGTCACCCGAGTGTTTCAGGGATTACAGGACCATGGTTCGGTTCTGGCCCTCTACATGTCACTGTTGTTTGTGAGACAGAAACAATGAAAGAGACAGGCAGACAGGGTCAGAGATGACACTTGCTTCTTGGGCCAGTGGAGACTAAGAGCATGATGGCATCATTGCAGATAGCTATGTAGAGTGGCTGGCTAAGGAAGGGGACACACTAAGCCAGCAGCAGCACTGAGAAACTATGGAGAAAGCTGAGTGCAGTCCTCCTGGGCTTTGCTTGTGATTCGTTGGGGCCTGTTATTTTCCTTGTTGGACCTGTCCTGTAGTAGGTGACTTCTTAAAACTACAATATCAACCTGTGGAAGTGAGGAAACAGATTGACAGAGTGAGACGGGTACCTAGAAGTCACCTACTACAGGACAGGTCCAACAAGGAAAATAACAGAATACCACTGGCCATCACGTACAGCCCCCAGCTAAAACCTCTGCAGCACATCATCAACGAACTACAACCTACCCTGGAAAACTATCCCTCACTCTCACAGACCTTGGGAAGCAGGCCAGTCCTTGCTTACAGACAGCCTCCCCGCAACCTGAAGCAAATACTCACCAGCAACTACACTCCACACCACAGAAACACCAACCCAAGAACCAATCCCTGTAGCAAACCTCGTTGCCTACTCTGTCCCCATCTCTACTCTAGCAACACCATCAGCGGACCTAACCACATGAGCCACACCATCAGGAACTCATTCACCTGCACATCTACTAATGTGATATATGCCATCATGTGCCAGCAATGCCCCTCTGCCTGTACATTGGCCAAACCGGACAGTCTCTACATAAAAGAATAAATGGACACAAATCAGACATCAGGAATGGTAACATACAAAAGCCAGTAGGTGAACACTTCAATCTCCCTGGACATTCAATAACAGATTTAAAAGTAGCCATCCTTCAACAAAATAACTTCAAAAACAGACTTCAAAGAGAAACTGCAGAGCTACAATTCATTTGTAAATTTAACACCATTAATTTGGGCTTGAATAGGAACTGGGAGTGGCTGGCTCACTACAAAAGCAATTTTCTTTTTTTTGGTATTGACACCTCTTCATCAATTATTGGGAGTGAACCACATCCACCCTGATTGAATTGGCCCTGTCAACACTGGTTCTCCACTTGTAAGGTAACTCCCTTCTCTTCATGTGTTAGTATATTTATGCCTGTATCTGTAATTTTCATTCCATGCATCTGAAGAAGTGGTTTTTTACCCACGAAAGCTTATGCCCAAATAAATCGGTTAGTCTTTAAGGTGCCACCGACTCCTCGTTGTTTTAATCATTCTTGTGGCTCCAATTTATCAGTGTCCTTGAATTGTGCACACCAGAACCGGACACAGTATAACAGCAGCGATTGCACAAGATTCCTCCTGTTTATGCATCCCAGGAGCACACTAGCTCTTTTGGCACAGCATCACACTGGGAACTCGTGTTCAGTTATCCACCACAACCTCCAAATCTTTTTCAGAGTCACTGCTTCTCAGGATAGAGCCCCCCATCCTGTAAGTGTGGCCAGCATTCTTTGTTCCTAGATGTATACAGTTAAGTTTAGCAGTGTTAAAACACATATTGTTTGTTTGTCCCCACCTTACCAAGCGATCCAGATCTCTCTGAATCAGTGACCTGTCCTCTTCATTATTTACCACTCCCCCAAGTTTTGTCATCTGCAAACTTTATCAGTGATGATTTGATTTTATGTTTTCTTCTAGATCATTGATAAAAATGTTAAACCATGTAGGACTAAGAACTGATCCATATGGGACTCCACTGGAAACACACCCACTTGATGACAATTGTCTGCTTACAGTTACATTTTGAGACCTATCAGTTAGCCACTTTTCAATCCATTTAATGTGTGCCATGTTAATTTTTTTAATCAAAATGTCATGTGATACCAAGTCAAATGCCTTATAAAAGTCTACAGTGTTGTTGTAGCCGTGTTGGTTCCAAGATACTAGAAAGAGAGTAGGTGAGGTAATATCTTTGATTGGACCAATGTCTATTGGTAAGAGAGACAAGCTTTCAAGCTTACACAGAGCTCTTCTTCAAGTCTGGGAAACAGATTCAGAGTGTCACAGCTAAATACCAGTTGGATCAGATTGTTTAGCACAAGCATAGCCAGCCTTCCAGGATTGTCCTGGAATCACCAGGAATTAAAGATTAATCTTTAATTAAAGATTATGTCATGTGATAAAACCTCCAGGAATACATCCAACCAAAACTGGCAAACCTATGCATAGGTGGCACATGACTCTTGTGTTTGGGGAGGCTGGGCGTGAGCACCAGAAGCTCCCTAGAAGTGTGTGTGGGGGGCCCACCAGTGCAAGAACTGTGGTCCTGCCTCCTCTCCACCCTGGCTGTGCCCCAAGACCCCACCCCCATTCTGCCTTTTCCCACCCCGTTCCGCCTCTTCCCCTGAGGCTCCCCCCACTTGCCACTTGCTCCTCTCTGCCCCCGCTCCTGAGCCCCCCACCTGCTGCCAGCGGCGTATTATCGTTTGGGCCAACAAGGCCTAGGCCTAGGGCGGCAAATTTGCAGGGGCGGCAAATTTATAATAGCAGCATTTTGGTAATCGCGGCATCAGTGACGCCACGATTCTACCAATCATAGCACATATTGAAACCACCAATGACGGCACAACGCCATTTAGTAAACATACTCACGAGAATCCTAAATGTTAATAATATGACTGGAAGGAAGAAATTAAGCAGTTCTCAGTTTTGGATCCATGCGCGATCCCGCGCTATAAGCGAAATCGCGCTATACAGATGCATGTTCAAGGAAGGGTCCGCTGTACTTGTAATTCTATTTATAATAAAAATTGTAAATGTTCAATTATTTTAATGATATTTAGATTCATTTTAGTTCAAACGAATTTGTAAAAAAACTAAAACAAGTTAATATGGGGCCGGGGGCGGCAATTATTTCAGGGCTAGGAGCGGCAAAATCATCAATCCGCCACACCCCGCCGCTTCCTCCTCTCAACCCCCTCCTGCCTTAAGAGTGAGCAATGGTGGCTGGGGGAAGGGGGCGGAGAAGAGTGAGCAGCAGGCAGGGGGGCCTTGTGGGAAGAGGTGGAACAAAGGTGGGAAGAGGCTGAGTGCAGGCGGGGCGTCAGGGGGAAGAGGCACAGCATGAGTGGAGCCACGGGGAAAGAGGCTGAATGGAAGCAGGGCCTCAGGGTGGAAAGGGGGCGGAGCGCAGGCGGGGCCACAGTCCAGACACCAGTGGCCCTTCCACTTCTTGGGAGCTTCCAGCGATGGTGCTCCAAAGGTAGGGTTACCATATTTCAACAAGCAAAAAAGAGGACGGGAGGAGCCCCGCCCCAGCCCCGCCCCTGCCCCTCCCACTTCCCGGCCCCCCAGAATCCCCCAAC